CGTTCTAGAAGATTCTCCTCTCAGAGCCTCCAGGGAGGAGCTCTCCTTGGCCTCGCCCTCCACCCTCCCCGATAGGCCCAGATACTCTTACTGAGGTTCTGTCTCCTCCACAGCCCTGCTCTTGACCTCACTCCATTTCTTCCACATCCTTCCTGGACGCCACCCTGGCTCTTGGCTGTTTCTGCCCCAAGATCACCACGCTTCCTGTCTCCAGGGTGCTGAGGGCATGGCTGGGCCAGGGTAGGGCCTGGGAAATGTCATAGTTGAGTCTCTGAAGGAACACTTTACTTCTCAGAGACCTCTGCCCCCGCCTCCCTCTCTCGCCTTGGCAAGGTGCCCCGTGAAAGAATGTGCCTGAGTGGCTGGTGGGAAAGGAGGGGGCTGCAGCCTCTTCTCTTTTGGACAAGCTTCTCCAAGCTTCAGTGGCCCAGGGGACGGTCACCCAGCCCCCGAGGAGATGCTGAGCAGTCAGAATCTTCAGCAGAGTGCACAGGCACTGGGCCTGGCCTCCTTTTTCTGCTTGTCCTGCTGTTTTTCTGGAGCCCCCATCCTGATACTCTGAACAGCCTCACACCCACTTGTTGTTTTAAAGCTGATAAGGGGTTTCCCATCAGTCTTCTGCTCATCCTCCAGTAATCAGGACAGAAATTATCCTCTGGCCCTAGAGACAATGGAACCAGAAGGGCGGAGCGGCTTGTCCAAGGCCACACAGCTGACAGCCAGAAAAGGAGCGTCCTAGTTCAGCACTCCCTCCTTTGCATCCCATCGCCAGAAACGCCGCGGACTTCGTGAATTAGAGAGCTGAGCTGGTTTCATTCCCGCCCTGCCTGAGCTCTGGTCATAGGCATGCTCAGGTCATAGAAAGAGAAACCGTAGAAACCTGGGCTTGGCGTATGGAGGGGCTGGGCTTGCTTGGAGCAAGTGTCATAAGGGATGCTTCTGGGTCCAAAAGTCTTTGAGGGACAGGATGGGGCCCCAAGGTGGACAACTTGAGGCCATCCTCCACGATCATCCCATTGTGGTTCAGGAGCGTGCTGTGTCCACGAAAGGCCCAGTTCCTTGACTATGTTGGAGAAGCCTGTTGTCCAGTGGAAATGGGGTGGTGGCCCTCTGCTCTGGTCAGTTCAGAGTGACACAAAATAACTGGAGTTGGACAACCAGGACAACCAGGATGAAAAAAATATACAAAATTGTCCCACAAGGAACCGAGATTTTTAACCTGGAAAAGCACAGACCCGTGGGTGGGGTAGGGGGACTCACCTTCCCCTATTGGAAGGGAAGGGATGGAGAAGTAGGAGCCGACCCAAGTGTAGGGACCCGAGGGACAATCTTGGGACCGCTTGCCAGCCTGATGCCCCCCAAACAAGGATTTTAGTTCAAAGGGAGGAGGATGCTCCGAAGGCAGAGCAGCTGGGAAAGGAAAGCCCACTTTCCCTTGTTCAGGGCTGGGCACTTCGTCCCTGGCGGGGCCAAGCAGTGGCTGAAGTATACAGGCCACTCAGCATGTGGATGAGAACGAGAGGGTGGGCCTTCAAGTCTCTTCCTGCGTGGAAACTCTGGGTCTTCCTGAGCCCCTGTCGACAGCCACTGGGTCCTCCGCCCTCTAGGGGCCTGAACCTGCGGGCGTCTCTCTGGCTGTGCAGTGGTCCCCAGTTAATAAAGCTCGCTGCCTCGGTGGCTTCCCCTTTGCTGTCTCTCTGCTCCTGGGTGCAGTGGGTCGCTGCTCTCCTCGGCAGCTGCTAGGGTTTGGGGCCCAGGAGGAGGACATGTTTTGTTCACTTGAATGCTTCTGACGAGGTTTGCAGGCTGCTGGGCCATCCCCCACACCCCGGAAATTGGAAATGCCATGCCCCCAACACTCACACAGACAGTCTAACCCCCTCTGCCACCCAGCTTCTCACTCCCTGCCTCCGTCACCCACTACTCGAAGTCTCTCCCGAGGGAGCTGGATTTTTTTGTTTTAATTTTATTTTATTTGAAGAATAACACACATACATGCAGAAAAAGGCACAAAGCATAAATGTTCAACTTGATTTAAAATAAAGCAGATGCCTATGTAGCCACCACCCAGGTCAGAAGTAGCACACCACCAGCACCCCAGAAGCCCCTCTCTTGCCTCCTGTCAATCATTTTTCCCCTTCCTCCCCCCCAAAGGTAACCCCCATCCTGACTTTAACACTGTGGTTTTATTTTGCCTGTTTGGGAAGTTTGCATGAGTAGAATTATGTCTGTATTCTTTGTCTGGCTTCTTTTGCTAACATTTGTGAGATTTTTCGTTACTGAGTGGGGCTCTAGCTTGGTCATTTTTCACGGCTGTATAGTATTCTATTATGTGTCTATACCACAAGTTACTTATCCATTCTACTATGATGGGCATTTGGGGTGATTCCAGGTTGGCGCTTTTACAGATCATGTTTCAGAAAGCACTTGGATGCATGTCTTTGTTGCACACAGTTTCTGCTAGATGTACACCTGGGCGTGGAATGGTTGGGTTGCAGGGATGTGCTTGTTCAGCCACAGTAGATACTGCCAGTCTCCTAGGTGGCTGTGAGAACTGAGTGTCAGTGCTCTCCTGAGATGTCAGTAGTCGCCGTGGGGATGGGGGTGGCAGACTGGAGATGGATGCAGCTGGGGGATGGGCTGCAGAGTCTTAAGAGGCAGGGTCCCCCCTCTCCCTGCTGCCGGTTCTCTCAGAACCACTCCAAGTGCAACACCTGAGCACTGTGACCTTGACCTCTGACCCATTGCCTCTCACCTCTATAGGTCATGACAGCCAATGTTTACTGACCACCTATTGCATGCCAGGCCTTTTGCTGGCTGCTGAGGGCACAGAAATTGATAAGACGGAGAACTCTCCATCTAGAGGGGGAAAAGACAAGTAAATGAGGAATTTCACTACCATTCAATAATGCTGAGCTAGAAAGGGCACAAGATGAAGAGCACCAAGCCAGCCAGGCAGACTGGATGAGAGGGAGTGCAGGTGGGGTGAGGTGAGAGGTGAGAAGACTTTTGGAGGAAATGGAGCAGGAGCTGAGCCTTGGAACATGACGTGGCTTCGCCTGCTAGGAAGCATGGAGGACCCCAGGCACAGGCGCAGCCTGTTCAAAGTCCAGAAATAATGCAAATAGGTTCAGAAACCCACAAGATGTTTGGTATGGCTGCAGCAGAAGGTGCAGGAGCGGAGGGAGGAGATGAGGCCAGAGAGGGACGCAGTAGCCCCCCATGACGGCCTTCAGTGCTGTGCTAAGGAGCTCGGGCTGTGTCCTCCAGGCCAAAGGTGCATTCCAGAAAGATCCGTCTTCCTGCCTCTGGAGGTCGGGAGGGGGTCAGGTAGGGGCTGGTGCAGTTGTCCAGGTGAGAGCAGATAGTGGCTGAACTAGGGCAAGTGTGATGGGGCAGGAATAAGGGGACAGTCACAAGGCATGAGGGGAGTGGAACTGGCAGGGCTCGGTGCCTACTCAGACACTGGGGAGAAGGCGAAGATGTCAAAGAAAATGCCCAGGTTTCCCACACAAATGCTTGGTTATTGCTGAGAGGGAAACACAGGAGGAGTAGGTTCTGGGGGAAAGGTGAGTTTGACCACCTCCTCAAGTGCCATGAAGCTACAAGGGGCCCATTTATAAGGACCACCACCCACCCTAAGCAAGTCTGCCTGCTTGGGAGGCCAAAGCCCAGTGAGCATGTCTTTGGTATAACTCAGAGATGCTCAAACAGTCCAGGCTGATGCCCCGCTTAGAGCCAGCAGCCCGAATGTCCAAGCCCTGCAAGGATCACACTAAAAGCAAAAATTGGGGGGTTCCTCTTTGCTGCTGTGGGGCTGCTTTGGGGAGCAGAACATCCCTTCTTTCAAGAGGCTTTGGGGCATAAACTGAATATACACGGCTACAGAACATTCTGGAACATCGGTAGCATGGGGGAAAACCATGCATGTCCAGGGCTGAGGGAGCTCAGCGGCCTAATAGACAATATCCAGGAGCCAGAGTTCGGTTGAGGCCAGCACAGATGACTCCTCAGAGCAGGAGGTCCTGGGCCTCTGGTGATGCTCAAATTCAGGCTGATCGTCAGGTAGTCCCGAGGAGCTAGGCTTTCCAGAGCAGGAATCCAGCCTGTGGTTGTGGGCAACAGAGCCTGGCCCCGGAGTAGGAGCTGTGGGAGCTAACCAGCATACCCCACCCCGGCCAGGTAGACAGAAGTTGGCATGGAGTGTTTCCATCCTCTGTCCTAGCAAAGAACTAGGGCCTGTGAAGAAAACTGAAGCACATGCTCAGTCTCAGGGAGGAGACCAACACATCTAGGACGTGGAGCCAGAGCCTTCGTGGGAATGCTGACCCCAGACCTGTCATGGCCTTGCTGGATCCCAGGCATCTGGACACACAAATAATCCCAGCCCCCACCAGCCGTGAGAACTGAGGTTCCCCCATCTCCCCGTGTTGCCTCTACGCCCTCTGACCCCGCTCCCTTCCCTGGCTCCTAGGGAGGCCCCATCCAGAACCGCAAGTCCAAGCGCTGTCTGGAGCTGCAGGAGAACAGCGACTCGGAGTTCGGCTTCCAGCTGGTGCTGCAGAAGTGCTCGGGCCAGCACTGGAGCATCACCAACGTCCTGAGGAGCCTGGCGTCCTGACCTCTCCCCCCAACACCCCGCCCCGGGAGCCGCCCCTCCCTCCCCTTTGCTACTGTGTAGCACCTGCTGCGACGTCCTCTGCTGTCCTTGTGGGGTTGTTTGGAACCAGGTTAGTGGGCCCCCAAAAGATCTTTTTATTTCCTATTCAATTTTCATGGAGTTTATAGAAAGATGCTGAATGGTGGGTGAGGGTATAATATCATAAACTATTTTGCAACTGTAAATAGGGGACAAATGGAAAATATTTATAACTGACAATAAAATACTATTGATTAAGAAAAGAGTTTTTGCAGTTATTTTGGTGCTCGGTGGAAATTCATGCCTGGCTCCTCTGAACTTGCCGGAGCGGCGTCTGCTGGACTTCAGGCTTCAGACTGCCCTGCCCTCTCCTGGAGTCACCTCCTTCACCTCCCAGCTCTGTCACTGCTCAGACCCCCAGCAGACACTTGCCTACAGCCAATGCCCCAGCCAGTTGCTAAGAGCAGTTGGCTCCTTCCATGAATCCCATATATTAAGTTTCCTGGTGCTGCCGTAGCAAAGTGCCCCAGACTGGGGGGCTTAAACAACAAGAAATTCCTTCTCTCCCGGTGCTGAAGGCCAGGATCCCGAAATCAAGGCGGCGGCAGGGTTGGTTCCTTCTGCGGGCTGTGAGGGAAGACCTCTCCCAGGCATCTCTCTGAGCTCCCGGTAGCCACAGGCGTCCCTTGGCTTGTAGATGGCCGTCAGCTCCCCGTGCTTCCCTCTGTGCACGTCTGCCTCTGCGTCCTAATTTCCTGATTTATAAAGACACCAGTCGTATTGGATTAGGGCCCACCCTAATGACCTCATTTGAACTCAATTAACTCTGTTGCGACTCTCCTTCCAAATAAGGTCCCATTCTGAGGCGCAGGCGGTGAGGAATTCAACACGTCTTTTGGGGAAACAATTTGACCCATAACACATAGCTCACTCAGTTATGGCTTCGGGACACCCCAGCCTCGGGACAGTGGCTGCCATCAGAGTGGAGCCATCTGTCTTGGAGCGTCTTCCCCAACCCTCTGGCCCTCCAGTAGTTTCCGGTTGACTTGTCCTGGCCCAAAGAGGCCTTCCTCAGGTTGGGGGCTCCCGTGTTTAGTTTGAGGGACTCCCCACCCCATGTCCTGGCAGCACTTGCAGCCCCCTGGCTCACAGCAGAGCAGTCATGAGTGACAGGCTGTAAGACTGAGGCAGGAGAGGTTTCAGGCCCACTCACCCCCGCAAGTTCTCTGGGGCCTCCAGCCACACAGCCGCCTGTTCTGGATCAGTAATTTATAGATGAAAAACTGACAAACATAGAGAAACCTCCTGCACCTATGGGACCCCAGGAGGGAAGGGGCCTCCTGCCTCGTCCATCCTCGCACACTAAGAACCCCATCTAGCACAGGATTCACCCTGGAGGGGCCGCGAGGGGCTTCCTAGGCTAATGTCGTAGCTTCCCCTCTAGGTTTACACTTAATTCCCCAAATGGCCCTTGGCTCCACCACAGAGACCCATGAGAGGGTACCACCAGGCTGGTCCCCTGCGGCCCCCACCCAGGAGGTCAACATGGGGAGCAGGACCCTCAGGAGGAAAGAGGCTCCTACGAATTCGCAGGCACTGCCTTTGTAGTGCTCTGGAGCCAGGATGCCCTCATCCCTTCCCCGCGCTTACTTCTCGACCTAAACTCTACTCTTTCCTACGCTCATGCCAATGAACATCTTCCTGTAGCTGTAACGCATCCCGTACTTCTAAAGTCATTCTCTGTTCTAGACTCACTCTACCCACCTCTTTCTTCACCTCTAAAATACCAATTCCTGCTCTTCATAGTCACCCACACGTCCTGCCCTGCACCAGTGTTCCCAGGGTCTGGTCTCCAGACCAGCGGCATCAGCATCACTCAGGAACTTAGCAGAATTGCAGTTCTCAAGCCCCACCCCAGATCCCCTGAAGCAGAAACGATCTAGGTTTGAACAAGCTCTCCGCATGATTCTGGTTCCCCACTACAGTCCGAGAACCGCCGGCAGCCCCCGCCTCGGGCAGGTCACGCGTGTCATCCCTCCTCCACTTGCCAGGCCGCCATCCTCAGCAGCCTCTGTTCCTACTGCGGCTGCAGCCCAGAAGGCCCCGCGTCCACCCACACTCACACCTTCACTGCCTGCACCACGTCTGACCCTCATGTAGAGAAGCAGGACCGAGAGTGTGGCCTCTGGAGCCGACAGCCCGAGTTCAAGTCCCAGCCCTGCCACTTCCCAGCTGGACGATCTTGGGCAGCTGCTTGACCTCCTTGTGCCTCCTTAAAAAGTAGGGATACTAATAGTATATCTTTTACAGAGTTGTTGTGAAAATTAAATGAGTGAATTTGTGTAAAACACTTAGAACAGTGACAGGCACATAATAAGTGCTATAAAGCCTTAGCTGTTATTATTTCATCCATTGACATCCTGACACCCAGATGCTGTCACCGACATCCCCACCTTCATACCCGTCTACACCCACACTTCACCATGCCTGTTGACATCCATGGCCCACCCCACCTGCGCTAACACCACTCATGTCTGAACCACCTGCCTGGAGGCGCTTGTCCTCACACCCATCGCCCCCTGCACCCATGCCCCTGCAATCTCCACACATCCTTGCCCTCCTATCGAGGGCATCTGGACATCTACCACTCCCAACAACACCTACACCCTGAGAAGCACACTGAGGATGACGCCCTCCCCAGTACTCACTTGGGGGCAGTTAAAACAGGGGACACGGGGGCAGTTCCCCTCTAGGACACCAACTCACCATGTCCCTGAGCCCAGATGCTCAAGCCCTGGAGGGAGAAGAGGCTCTGAGATGGCCTTGAGGGCCCTGACTTCCTACGAGCAGGGACCATGTGGCCAGTCCAGGCTCTGCTATATCTCAGAGGGACAAAGGTAAGAAGTCCAAGGCCATGTGTCTCCAAAGCAGAGGAGCTGGGTAGGTTTGGGGCAGAGGCAGGAGTGAGAGCATAAAGGGAGGGGGAGGGCAAGGAGGTCCTAGCCCACACCCAGCCTCATCGGATCCCAGCCTCAGCAGGCTGCTTCTCCCTGTTGCTGCTGCAAGCTGGACAGCAGCTGTTTAGGGGCTCTCTGAACACCCCAGGGTAAGATCATTATTTTTCGTAATGATCTGCACATTAAACAACTTTGTTCCCTGATTCCACTGCCTTCCCAGACACCAGAAAGGGCTCTTCCAGCCTGTCCTGCAAGACCTCCTGGACAGCCAGCCCACTGCCTGCCCACAACCCAGTCCCCCAACTCAACCCCAGCCTTCACCCGGTCCCTGCCCATGGTCCCACCTGTTATGGGTAATGAAGGAAGAAGATGGGGTCCTTGCTCCCCACTGGGAGGTGGACACAGTTGTTTGCAGAAACGATGGCAGAAGCCGTCAGTGATTTGGCTATATCCTGCCCAACCCCGAAGGTCACCTGCCACCAGTCACAGTCCTACAGCTCCTGCAGCTTCCTGCATCTCTGCCTGAGGCCCTTCTCCAGCCACAGGCACATGCTCGGGCCTATGTATGGGTAGACCAGAAGTACCGGGAAGTTTAGACCTTAGGAACAACCCCCAATCAGTGAGGGATGGGCCTGCTCATTCTTCAGGGGCATAAATGTGAAGCCTGATCCCCCAGTCTCTCAAAGGGTCCCAGTGGGACTGAACCCCAGTAGCCACCTCAGTGCACCCTCTACTGGCTTTCCTCCCTTCCTGGTCTCATGGTCCCCACTCCCTCTCCAAGCTTGCCCAATCATCTCCCAAATGCTGGTCTCTAGGTCTGCTCCCGGGAGAAGCAGCTCATGCCCACTCCTCCTGTGCAGTGGCCCCACACCCATGGACACCAGGGATACCAAATCCTCCTCTGTGCCCCGACCTCTCCTTTGAGCTCCAGGCCTGATCTCCTGCCGCTGACGGGCCCCGGGCAGCTGGGTGGCTGTCCTTAGACAATGCTGACCCATGTGCTGAAACAGACCTGTTGCTCCTCCTCCCAAGCCCACCCCAGTGACCAGCATCACCCGCCACCAGGTGCTCAAGCCAGAGACCTCCTCTCGTCCCAAACTCCCCATCCCCCCATCCTCCCCCCAGTATCTTGTCAGTACATCACGGCAGTGATGCCTCCTTAACAGCTCTGGGACTGCCCTGGGCCCCTTCCTAGCTCACATGGACCCTGCCTCCCCACCTCCAATCTCCCCGACTCCCCTCCTCATCTGCCCCCGACACTGCAACAGTCACAGGGGACTTTCTGAAATGCAAATATGATCAGATTCCTTCCGGACCTAAAACCGTCTATAGGTCTCATCAAAGATGGTGAATGACTAGCTCAGGCTCCAGCCTCAGAGCTCCCTCCTTCTGTGAGTCCAGCAGCCGAGGCTCAGAAGCTTCCAGGTTGGGGGCCCTAGACACAGGAGGGCCGTGGGTGTGAGTAGGCCTGACTTCCCGGCTGTGGCACCCACTGGACATCTGCAGCCCCCGCCCACCCTCTGGGGATGTTGGTGTCCCATGTCTTCTTTCCTTTTGTTGAAGAGGTTTTTCTTGGGGGCTGTATTGGTTTGCTAGAGTTTCCGTAACCAAGTACCACAGACCGCGTGGCTCAAACGACAGCAGTGTGTTGTCTCACAGTTCCGGAGCCCAGAAGTCCAAGCTCCAGCTGTGGGCAGGGTTGGGTCCTCTGAGGGCTGTGAGGGAAGGATGTGTTCCAGGCCTTTCTCCTTGGCTTATAAATAGGCGTCTTCTCTCTGTGTCTCTTCACATCATCTTCCCTCTGTGTGTGTGTCTCTGTTTCCAGATTTCTTCTTCTTGTAAGGACACCAGTCATATTAGTTTAGGTCCCACCCTAATGACCTCATTTTAACTTCATTACCTCTGTAAGACCCTATCTCCACATGAGGTCACATGCTGAGGTACTGGGGTGAGGACTTCAACACATGAATTTTTAGAGGGGACACAATTCAACCCATAACAGGAACAGAGCGGGGGAAGCGAAGAGCAGACCCCAGGTCCCAAGAGGCTGCCTACACTCACACTCACCTTGCCCGGCAAGTCCTGGCTGTTGAGGGCAGCCCCAGTTCTGGCCTTCATCTGTAGAGATGACAGGGAATTTGTGCATAAGGACCTGAGATGGTCGTCATTGCCCTCTGTGTCCACACCCCTCTTAAGGAAAGCTGTTCCACCACAGCCCCAGCTGTGACCCCGTTTGTGCCATGACCATGCTCTCTCCCTCCCTAGCTGTTTTGACCTGACCCAAGGGCAGGCACCCATAGGCCGGCCAGCGATCAATGACTCAACACAACAGGATGAGCTGGGCCAACCCAATTCTGCCTGCAAATTTGCAACACAACATACGTAAAGAACCAGCCAGTGCAGAAGTCCAGGAGCCGTGGCCATCATGGGGATGCGTCACGGGGATGAGCAAGGCCCCGGAGGGCCAGGTGAGCCACAGCCGTGTGCATGCTGAGGTCGCGAGGAGGAAAAACCACAGCTGAGCTGAGACGATAACGGGGCTGATGAGCAGAGGCAGCAGCCCCATCCTGAGGAAGCTGGAACATGACAGGGACAGGGATGACAGACAGCCCTGGAGTGGCCTGGGTTTCCTGCTCATCCCAGACCCAACATGGGCACACCCTAGTGAGTCTTCTTTTCCCTGAGCTGGCTGAGCAGCTCCCTTTACAACAAACGAAGCTGACCGAGGCGGGCTATAAAGACTGTAGACTCCAGGACCTACTCACGCACAGACCCTCACAAGTGTCTGAACACTCACACAATCTTTACAACTGCTGCACACACATTTAACAGACGGGCATGCGTTTGCACCTTCTGTGTAAACACACAGGCAAGGCTTACACTGCCACTCACACACACAAGTGTGTGCACATACGTGCAGTACATCACACAGACATATGCATAGATACACACACATTCACACATCCTGACCTGGAAGGGGAAAGTTATTTTGGGCCACTCCCTAAAGATCTTTTTTATAAGAATAAGGCTGTCATCCTTTAACATCTGTTAACATGGCCCTTGCGTAGCCGAGGCTGCTGGAAATCGGAGCTTTTTTATTCTCCCCATTTCTTTCTAATTATAGGCAAGACTCACAAGAGAGTTCTGAAGAAAGACAGACTTTCTGGCCTTAAGATTCTGTGTTTATTTGCTTTCTTCATGATCACGAGAGTCTCCAGCCCAGGAAAACAGACATGGGACAGAGTCACCCCAAAATGCATCCTCTCTCAGCCACGCTCCTTCTCCTGCCTTCTGCTCCACAGAGGAGGGAGGGGAACGAGGCAGACACCTTGAGACCACATCCAACTCCTGACCCCACAGGACCCTCAAGTCCCACTGCCCGGCCCTCGGGCCTCAGCCCATCTCTCTCTACCCACAGATAGGAATTTTATCCTTCCCTGGTGTTCTGCCAACATGATTGGCCAGAAAGGGCCTAGGGAGGCATTAGTCCTAATACGGGTATGTTTTCAAGTTACACAGGGTAGCCAGACTGTAAAGCCTGTCACCACATGATGCCTCTGTCTCTGTGTTCAACCTCCCTGTCGTTGCTCCTGGGGATGGGGCACCCAGGGGAGGGATCCCACCCACAGTGTCCTCAGGGGAGAACCTGTGGCCAGAACCAGACTCATGGGTGTGTGTCATGGGTCCCCAAGCTCAGATTCCCCACCCGGCTTAGTTTAATACTCTGGGGTCATCATCTTGAAATTCTTAATAATTTCTGAACATGGGACCCTGTATTTTTATTTTGCGCCGGGCCCATCTACTTGTATAGCAGATCCTGCCCGTGACATAGCATTATGGTAGAAAACGCCCAGAATCCAGCCCACAACACGGCACCTTCTCCCAGGAGGAGCTGCTCCTGGTGAGGGAGGCAGCTGAGCCCAGTGCTCTAGATTCTGCGCCCCCTCTGTGCCGCCTCCCCCGACTCCGTTCCCCTTCCTTCCCCTTCCTCTTCATGGGATGGTCCAGTTCCCGTGGCTGCCACCCTCACAACAGCCCCTAGGGGGCACTGTGCTCCCTTTGTGCTCTGTCTGAAGCGTGGACCCAAATCCCACCCCTGGGTTCCTTCGTGAAGCACACTAGGAATTCCAAAAGGGACTGAACTACTGAAGGGGGACTCCAAGGAAATGATCCCCAAACCAAGGAGGCAGCCTGAGAGTTATTTTCCCCCACTGCATTCTGCCCCCTGAGATGCTCTACTCACCACTTTCTGTGGGCCTGGTCCATCTTCAGTTCCCGACCATGGAAATGGCCCTGGTATAACCTGACCCCTTCCCCTACTGGGGCAAAAAAGAACCTTCTGTATTCAGGGCGCAAGTAAGGGTGTCGGCCAGAAACAGATGGCACACTGGGGGTTAACGACGGTGGGGGTTTGCCATCTCCAGGGTGTGGGCAGAGTAAGGTGAAGCTCCCAAAGACAGCAGGAGTGGAAGCCCTACTCCTGTAACTAAAGGGACAAGGAGAGGGCGGGGGGCTTCCAAACCTCATCAACAGCTGTGGCCATGGAAGTGGGCTGCCCAACAGGATCTGCTGCCAAAGCAGGAGAAACCCCCCACTGTAGAGCCACGGCCCAGCAGGGAGGGAGCCTTGGGCGTCAGGGGTAAGGCTCGAGGAAAACACGTCTATTCCTCCCACCTCCTGCCACTGTCAGATATTCTACCGAAGCCTCCTATTGGCCAAACGCAATTGGAGGCAGAGGGCGGAGGAGCCACTGATGCAGTGATGGGGATGCAGTCCCCTGAGCGACCAGAGAAGAGCGGAGCATGAGAGGACCAGCATGCTCCCCCTCAGCCTCGTCCTGGTCGGGACCTCCAGGCCCCCTAACTGCCTCCTGTCGTCCTGTCCCTCCCCCAGTCTCTGAACGCCTCCTGCACTGAGACTCGCCATAGCATGTGCTCTCCCCTTGAGCTCTTCCTTCCATTGATTGAAAGAGAGGAGAACGGAGAGGGACCTCCCGGCTTACAGCTTGAGTCCCTTGAGGACATCGCCAGCCTTGCCTCCTGCTGTCCAATTCCTCTGGGGTCACTGAGACCCAAGCCTCCTTCAACAGCCTCAGCACTTCCTGACCAGCATGTGGGGGCCTAGAATGTGACCTCAATGCCCTAGAAGAGCCTAGGATAGTCCTTGACCTTGTAGTGCTGGAATAGCAAACAGATCCCATCCACTTGAGCACATTTGGTTGGTCGTGGCTACCTGGAGTGATGTGTTGGGAAAGATGCTGAGGTTCTGGCTTTCCTTGGCAAGAGTCCTGGCATGGATGAGCCAGGATGAGAGAGGCAAAGTGTCACAAGTGTTACATATTTGGCCTTTCCACCCTGCCCTTCCACCCGCCTCCACTGCACTGCTCCAGAAGTCTCACCGCCCGCTGGGACTGAGGCTCTCCATGGACCTCAGCCACTGGAGCCCCTCATCGACTGGGCTGCTACCACCAGGGGGCCACCTACCCATCAGTGCTGTGTCCTGTCCATAGACCCAAACCACAGGGGCCCTTGAGCTGCACTTGTGGCATTGGCCTTTGCTGCAGGTGCACGTTCCTCAGCCCTTTCCCCTTCGGGCTCTGCCCCCTCCCCACCCCTGCCAGGGAAGCAGGTGAAAGTTCAGCACGTCTGCTCCCCTGCTGGGCTCACCTGGACCATGGTTGGTGTCTGGGGGCAAGTCACAGGCCAGGAAGGTCCTAAAGATGATTGTAAAAACAACAAACATTTGATTACTTCTATGGCCAGGCACTGAGGTAAGTACTTTCCATTTATTTTCTCATTTAATATTCATTATAACCTTAGCAAGTAACCCTATTGTCACTCCCTTTTTACAGTTAAGAAAACTGAGGCACAGAAGGGCCAGATCATTCTATAAGCACATACAACTCCTAAGAGACAGAGGTTGGATTTGAACCCAGGGAGGCTGAGTTTAGAGCCTGCCCTCGTAGCCTCTATTACACTACAGTGCCTCCCTCGGGGGCCATGGGAACCCCACAGCAGCCTTATGCTCCAAGCCGCCGTTGACAGCAGAGTGCCCCACCCTGAGGCTCTACCTGGACCAGAGGAGCAAAGGCCACTGACACCTAGAGAAGCATCAAACCTGGCCCAGGACCACACTAGTGCTTCACCAGCTCGTGGCACCCTGCAAGGTAGGCACCATTACTAGCATCACTTTACAGATGAAGAGACCAAGGCAGAGGGGTTAAATAGCTTGCCCAAGGTCATACAGCTAGCAAGTGGTAGTAGCCAGAATTTGAACTCGGGCCCCATGATATAGATCTGTGGCCCTAACCACTGAGCAATACTACCTCCCAGCCACCTGGCTGCCTTCACGTGATACAGAATCCACAGGACCTGCCAAAGACCCCAGGAGCCAGCCTCCCTGGCTCCCCGTGCTGCCAGGACTGGAAACACCGCCCCCCTGTTTTGATTCCTTGGGGAGCCTGACCTTCCAAACGTGACCACAAAGAGAATGTGATTAATGAGCCAATTATTTCTGTGGAAGACATCATGCAAAATAAATAGCCCATTTCCCTCCAATTTACTGTTTTAATAAATAAATAGCGCTCCACGGTCTGGTTTTGTTTATTGCTGCTCATACCTGAAAGTTTGTGATGAATCTTCATGTTGTTCATTTCCAAAATTAATCAGATCTGCCTGATGACTTTGAAATATAGGACCGCATTTGTCCTTTGGTGTTAACAGCAAGACAGCCAGGCGGGGCCACAGGGAAAGGCGGGCCCAGGGAGGGGCGAGCAGAGGGCAGGGTGCTGGGAGCTCTGGACCCGTGACTGTGGAGGCCCAAGTGCCCATGCAGGAGAACCACGGTCAGGAGGCTCAGCATGGAGCTTCACGATTGATGGGTCAAGGAAGGTCACCAGGAGGGACAAGGGCATAGGATGAGCAGGGGTCCTGAGTCATTGCAGAGTCATGCGTTCAACTGGCTATCTTTTGTAGATCCTTGTGTGCAGGCACAGAGCCAAGGAAAGGAGGCCAGCTGTGTCTGTGGGGCGCTGACCTCTGAAAGGATGTCCTAGGTGGGATGGTGGACCGTCAGGGTTCAGTCTAATCAGAAGTAAAAGAAATCCAACAATCGAGTGTTTATGATGTGCATGTATATGCTACACACTTTGACACACATCTTTTTAAATCACACAATAGTCCATGGAGTAAATGTTAGGTACCCATTTTACAGATGAGGAAAGGAAGAAGTTCACGTGCGTGAGCTTGTGTATGAGGGCAGGTGTGAAGTGTGTGAATGCTGAGGGGTATGCTTGCTTGTGCATGTGTGCATATGTGCACAGGTGTGCTATTTACAGCCCTACGTGGTGCTTGGGAACCTGTCGTGGAATGAGTTTGCATGTCTGTAAATATATGTGTTCATTTGTACATGTGCATAGTGGTGTTTTGTGTGTGTGTACACACCTAGCTTGTTTCTACGGTGGTGTGACTAGGCCTGTTTTTATTCCCTTTTCTATGTATTTTATCTCCACCAAACAGTTCTCTGGAGAGTCTCCACAGATCTCTTGAAATCACTTATCCCCCTGAACCCTCACTCCTACTAGGCCATGAGAACCTCAGGGTAGCGACAGTACTGACTTTGTCTCTGTCTCCCGAGCTCCAAGCACAGTGCCTGGCATGCACGGGTAGATTCATCCATTCATCCATTCAACACGTAGGCCTCGATTGTCTGCTGCCTCCTGTGTGCTGGGTATGCGACAGGAAACAGAGACACAGTCACCACCCTCAAGGAGCTCATGGTCCAGTGGAAAAGACAAATATTAACCAAATAATTAAACGCTGGAAAGTTTCAACTGCAGTAAGTACTAGGAAGGAGACAGAGAATTCTGACAGAGTATAAAAGGTGGAATAAACTAGTCAGAAACAAGAGACGGATGCCAAGGAAGTGACATTTGAGCTGATGTGCGTGCTGAGAAGGATTAACTAGAGGATAAAGGAATGTCTGTCCACTCTGGGAGTGGCACATGGAGAGGCAGGTGAGAGCAGCCGAAAGAAAGCTCGAGTAGGGGAGCTGAAAGAGGGAAGGAGTGAAAGATGAGGGTGGAAGGTAGGTGGTACCCTAGCATGCAGGGTCTTTGCATGCTTTGTTAAAGATGAGCCTTTATCCTCAGAGTGAGGGAAGCCACTGAAGAGTTTTAAGCAGGCAGGTGACCTAATCAGAGTCGTGTCTGGCTGCTAAGTGGAGTTGACTGGAGGAAGGCAAATCCATCCGTGGGTAGATCAAGTAGGAGGCAAGAATGACAGTGGCTTGGACAAGGTCATGGCAGAGAAGATGGAGAGAAGAATAAATTCCAGAGACATGTAACAGGTAAAGGAGATCACAGCAGTGGCTTGAACAGGGAGCACGAGGAAGAGAGAAGAGTTGAGGATGGAGAGAGGCGCCATTCCCTGGGGTGGAGACCATGTCAAGAGGACTGGTTTAGGAGGCAAGATCCTGAAGTCAGTCTTAAACCTATTGCATCTGAGGGCCCTTCAAGCTCTCCAGAATGAGACGTCAGAAAAATATGACAGTATGATATGTGGGTGTGGAGCGTGCACATTGCATGGCATTAATAATGTGTCCTAAATTGATGTTCCCGGCTTCTCTCTCTCCTCCACCATTTCTTTTCACCAAGAGATAATGATGGTTCTCAGAAAATTTAGAAATAGACATGACTCACCTTGGATAGAGGCTTCAGAATGAGAAGGCTCTATAAACCCAAGTCATTACCAGCTGCCAGGTGTACAGAGTTTTACAGCTCACATGGGGCTCTAACTCATTTGAGCTTCACAATAACCTGGGATCATTACCTCCATTTGAGGTTACATGGTTTGTCCTGAGAAATCATGTGTTGGGTCAAGTGTAAATGACTTTCTTATCATCTGCAGAACTGGACCTGCAAAAAGCTTCCCTTTGGAGACATGTGAATTCAATCCGCTTTACACATATCCGTGAGCACAAATGGAGAATGTGAGGAGGGGGCTACGAAGACGCACAAGGACATATCCCTGCCCTGGAGGAGATCACAGGCCAGGGGACAAGAGCCCCAGTTGATCATAACTAATGAAACACTGTGGGGAATGCTACAGGAGTCTCTTTCAAAGAACCTCTCTCTGATTATGAAAATGTTAAGTGTCAACAAATGCATAATATAGAGCATAAAACGGAAAAGAGGAGGTACCCCAGATCCACCGAGCGGTAAACACGTCCCTGTTTTGTTTGTCTCATTTTGGTGTGTGCTGGTGTTGGGCTTTTCAGTTAAAGTCAATAAATTACCTTTTATGCTTGAGCTGGTTTAGTTGGAGTTTCTGTAATTTGCAATCAAAGGAATCTTGACTAATAAGGTTATTTGGAGAATTGAATCAATTAAAGTGTACAAAGTGTTTAACACAGTACCTGGACTCCGGTAAGTACTCAGTAAACATTAGCAGCTATTCTTCTTATTCTGGTTTCATCTATTGGACAGGTGGGGCCAG